AAATAGTTAGTGATTAATGAAGTGCCAACTGGGTGCCAAAACATAAACTATGCTCTCTCAAATCATTAGTCCCTAAAACAAGATTAAGGATTATCTTTTCTGCAGTACTTGGGAAGCTTGACTGAAAGGCAACTACAACAATTTGATTTTATAATAATACTACCAGAGCTTTGTTCACAGCATAATATGATCTGTCATAATCACATACTATTTATTTTTTGTCTTGGAATTTTATAATAATCTGTACTGTGAACTATACAAGCAAAGCAGATTCCATTAAAGTAATTTATACACGTTTTTTATTTTAAAATGCTTACACGATAGTCTCTTAATGATAGTATAATAAATAGCAGGTGTAATCCGCTGGCATTTTTATAGACTTAGACTTAAATTACAACAGGGTGGCTTTGCTTGCCACCCCAGCATTTTATCCTGTCTGCTACTGTAAACATACTCTGCAACACGCATGTTTTATGTTGACTAATGAAAAAAAAAATGTTTTAATCTGTGAAATTAGAAATCAAATGATAATTTTCCATAATCGCAGCTGGTTGATAGATCTTGAAGATGTAAACTGTAAGTCTCAAAAAGAAACCAGCCTTTTCTACGCAGACGGTACAAAGTGTTTACACTTCCGCAGAGGAACAGAGCTGGGCGAGGGGACTTGCAACCAATCCTGGTCGATGCGTTTTGAGATGAACGCGTGCGCAAACGAACCGCTGCGGTTCTGCAATGGGTGGCTGTTCAGGGGAGCACCTACGTGCTGCACGCGGAGCGGCCCACGGCTTTGGGAGCCGCTCGCACCAGGCGGTGCGGTGACGGCCGTGGCCGTGGCCATGGTGAGCGCCCCGGTGCCGCTCCCGTCCGGAGGCACTCCGGCGCGCAGCACCCGCCACGTGTTTTCACCCAGACGCTTCCCCTCCTTCCGCTGCTTCCCGTCGTTTGAATATTTAACAGCGCAGCTGGAGGTTTCCACTGATAATGAATTTTAAATGGAGGGTTTAATGTGATGGGGAAAGGTCCATCTGTAAAAGTGGAAGGGATATCAGTCGTGTGCATGGAACGGGCAGCTGAACGTTGGGAAACGCTGTCCTGGAAAAGATTTAGGAATCCCTGGGGGAAAACAATTTGCCATGAGGCTGTGGTGTGAAACCGAAGCATTTTGACACTTAAATGGAGCCACGTATTTCAGTTCCACAGACTAATTTACATTGAATAACGAAAGATGCGGGGTTTTTTTCTTCTCTTCTCACTTCCCCTTCTCCCCTCCCCACACTCTGTAAGAATATTAACGATCCATGTCCTCACGTCTTGGGAACCTTAAACCATCCTCCTAATGGCTTCCGGCCATCACCGTGATTCCTGGATCCCGTTTCACCTCCGGATTTGCTTCTTCCTCACAACCCACCACATTTGGGGTTTGGGGGAAGCCTTTCATGACAGACACCCAAAACCGGTGTCTCCCAGTCTGAATACAACATTACACCAATGCTGAATACAACGTTATACGAAACTTGCTCCGTTAGGTAAATGAATTTCCTCCTCTAACGTGAGGAAATTTCGTGTTCAGTGAAAGGGGGCACCTTGCACAGGTTTCACCTCTCCGCGGGGCGCCCTCGCGGCCGCCCGGGATCCCTCCTCATTCCCACACCTTGTGTGCGGTGCTCGTGGCCAAAGCCTCGTTCCCCTCGGAGCGGGTGGCTCCTGCGGCCCCTCCACGGCGTTGGGGCTGCCTTTTGGGCCTGTCTGCTCCGCATGGACAGGTGCCCCGGTATCCGCGTCCTGAGGAGCCAGGGAGCGCACAGAGCGCCGCTCTGTGTTTAATGGCAGCCGGGGATCAGCTCCTACAGGAACAAACTCCGTTCCTTCTCTTGGGGTGTGAAAGGAGCACTAACGGCCTCCATCCCAGCACCAGGCAAGCAACAATTCCCTCGCTCTGCAAGGTAATGGATTAGGTGATGCCTGTAAAGGCCTGCGTGTGTATAAATGCTAAGCATTAACCGTTGGGATGGCTCCCTGGGGCTGCGCCTCCCTGGGCATGGAAGAGGGTCCATGACATGTGCTGTGTCTGTGGCAGCGCCGCTGGACTTTCTTCCTTCAGGGTGGACTTGTTTCCACTTCAGGGTGACCCCTGTGGAATTTGGGGGATCTTCCAAAAGCCTCCCCCACCCCAAACCGATGCGAACACCCTGAGAGCCTTGTTTTCCTTTTGGAAGCCAAGCACGGTGGTTCCCAGAAGGGTCTAGAAAGCCCTTGTGCCCCTTAAACACCCCCTTGCTCGGCTATCTGATATCCCCTTGTGCTCCGGCGGGGCGGGAGGCGGGTGGGTCCGGGGGCGCCTGGCGCGCGCCGCAGCTGCCAGCGAAGCGGCCGCCACCGC